GCTATGCCTATCAAGCATGTTAGAGGAGTCACACGCTGAGGATGATAGCAGTGATTCACCAGCAGTGAATTCAAAATTATCTCCTTCGACGTCAGCGTTCGATTGCTTTACGCATTGGAATGAACAGACTCTCGAACAATCATACTCTACCAATTAGCGTAAAGTTCCCAACGTCCTTAGCTCTTATCCTGGCGTACAGTGAAGAGTCTTGTGGAACAACTTCGACCGAATGATGCGTCCTTACCGACCATCCCACAGTCATAATCGGTATGTTTAAGAATCAGTAGAATGCTGAGCTCAAACTAGCGGGAACCTTTTTCTTCGATATCTTTCTGGATGCGGACCATTACCGGATTAACCCTCGGAAACTATATCTGTATTTAGGTGCCATCTGATTCAAACGATGACCACTTCTCTCGATGTCGGCGTTCATTACATTCATATGGCGATTCTGGACAATCGTTGGCTTTCGTGGACCCTATCTTTTCATAATTTATTCAGATCCACCCGTGCCCGTGTGGGTCTCTGGTGGTTCATTCTCCTTGAATAAACTAACAGAAGAATCCGAAACCGGAAGGTCAACGAGTAAGCACCAGAAACCCGGAGGTCCTGGAGTCAACACCCGATACCCGAAAACCCGAAGGCAAATAGGTATGATACGTTTGAAAACCGGCAACTTGAAAATGTAACAGATGTCGGATGTGACAATGAAACTGACAATGTCAAAGGTAAATGCATCATTGATATTTAAATCGTAGTCTATTAATTACAGTCTGTAATTTACAGATGCACCCGCTCCAGAGAGCTTTAGCGATCGGAGATCACTTTATGGGCATTCATGAGTCAGGCATCCATCCTTTCCATTATCAGGATCTATACCAGCGACAGTCTGAACCCACAAGGAGCAAGACTGGCGTTGGCGTTTACCGCGATAGCACTTGCGCCGGCCGGAAGCGGTCACATCTGACTGAACGTAGCCGTAGGAGTGGTGTTGGCGATCAGTAGAGTTGGAGAGATTGAAAATCTCACCGTCCAATCCAGCAAACGATGTCACAGTCTTCTTAGAAACGCCACAGTGACGGACAACATTGGCAACGGGATCGCCGAGGACGACGGCAATGAAGGCAGCGAGCATCTTTCGGAAGGCAGTGGATGTCTGAGCCCACATACCAGAGCGACAGGACATGTCGCAGGACGTCGTAAAATTGCTCAGACAAGGCACCCTGTGAAATAGACCCTTGAAGATGTGTTCGTTTTCACTATGACTCAACCCATCAATGCATTGACCCTCAACATTCATACGCGACCCCACCATGCATCTCTCACTGTGAATCACCATTAATGAGATGCCCCAGCTTGGCATACAACTTCCCGAGCTCCTGCGTTGCACCTGGAAGTCTATAATTTACATCTACACAAACGCAAAGTCTTCGAGTTTCCGGATTGTATCACCACAGTAACGATCCCACCTTCCAGAGCCACATGCTCTTTCCTCTCGCTCTTGTCTATGTTGTCGATCAACACCGCCGGATTCACTCTACCTGAAACTCCTATCGTATTACACTACGTTGCATCGATGACCGACCTTCATTTCCTCCCTCCTGTACAAGGGACGATGAAGCAGTGCTTATATCGCCAACATCCATCATGCCAGGCTCGACCAAATGCAGCTGAACGGCTATTAATGGCTTCTTATGTTCATGTTGAGATCTCCTTTGTAAGAACGATTTGGGCTGGTCTGAGAGGACACGAGTGAAGTTGATATCCCAACACTACGTGAAGATCACCTTTCTGAATCACCTGTGGCTTGGTCATGCTCGGGTGTCTGAAAGAATGATCTCTGCTGCCAAGCCGTTAATGGACCATCAAGGCAATCCTAGCATTCATCAAACCATAATAGACTTACCCGATCCCTGTCACCAGTACTATGCAAACAAACTGGACGAATGATGTGCGGAAGATTTGGAACATGGTGTTATCAAAGTAATAGCTGATCAGAAAAGATTTCAGAAGAGGCTTTGCTACTACAACAACAACTGCAGTGAATTATACAATACTGCAGTATCAGTCTGTCATCATAATCATTATTCTGTTAACATCCCATACATTAGGAGAAATAACTCATGACTCGGAAGTCCATGTTTCTCTTGCGAGGGTGTATTTCTGCTGTAACACTGTGTTTGAATATGTGACAACTAATGGGGAATATCATCAGATGATCCCAGCCACTTCAAATTGACGAACCAAATTCCACTGAGCTCGCACAGTTAAGCATGTGAACATCATAACAAAATGGTCAAACCGGACAACGAATAGCGATCATGAATAACTTGGCAACGACCATATCGTCCAAAAGGACCCATCATGCTGTCATCAAATCCCCGTCGCGGAGAGGTTCATGCCCAAGTTCGACATCTGTCTCGTTATAATGCGACGCCAAACCATCGGACGTGCCATCTGAGCTGCGAGTGGAATCGCATTCAGTTCATAGCTCCTCGGTAAGCCTTGACCTGAGGAAACTTCAAACTGCGAGACACATAGCTCGAATAATTCTCACCGGGGCAGCTACTTCCAGGTCGGCTTCTTCCCATCGTTCGTGGCCTTTCTAGTCGCCTCCTGGGAAAATTATCGTTTTATGAAAAGTCAGAATCACAAGAAAGTCTCGAAACTCTGTAAACACCCGAAGCGACCGGAATTTCTCAGGAGTTTCCTCATCAATCATAAAATTCAACATACGAATTCGGGCCGAAGTGTACGAAAACCAACAATAATTTCCCAGAATTCCCTCAGAATTTCCATATCGTTACCAACACACGTAGTCGGCCATGTGCATATTTTCCTACCCCGATTTCAACCTGGATGCCCCCCATAATAGCAAATCAAATGGCGTCTCTTAACTACTGCTGAGCTACAACTTTCATATTGATTACAGTACGTGTGGTCATAGAGTTACAGTTCATTCCGGTTTGAATGAAATTACTATGGTCGGCCAATACCCACCTAGATGCAGCAGTAGCCAATCGACTGCTCCCCGCAGTCGATCTTCCATTTCTCACATCATCGCACTGCAAAGAGTTCCTCCATAAAATACAAACTGGCTTATACCCACTTTCCTCCCTGCATAGGGCGTCTTCAACACGCCTGGTCCCGTCGTTCGACACCATGAAGAATGTATTTCTAAAAGTTCCCAAATGACCATATCTTCCAAACAACTTAGTTCACCCGCGGGTAAATGCACAGACGAGCACGTATCTCTATTCTGCAATCCGGTACTCGTAGGAGTCATCTTCGGGATCTCTCTGTTTTCACCTTTTTCTCTCCGACTTGCTTTTTCTGAGCTCGTAACTAATCCCAAAATACCATCATCATCATCATCAAGTGGAATTACTTCTTCTCATGACAGTAGCGCTAGTCTGCGGTCGTACGCCCTCACGTAGCGCCCCTGTACTCCTTTGATTGGTTCTTCTTTCTCTATTATCAATTTGTCTTCTCGCTCCACTTTGCGCCGTGCCTAAGACCGGCTCGCACCACATGTTGGTGATAGTCAATTATCTCACTTGATAGTAGTGTTCGATCTGATACAGTCGGATATGGAATGTCTTGTTTCGAGGTAGATTGTACAGGAGGGAACCGCACTGTAGACTGAGATCAAAATCGATCACGCGATCGATTTGGCTATCACCACTCACATCAGCAGGTGGTGTGTATTCTTCTGGGAGGAACCCCACTGACTGAGCTTTGTTGTAGAATCGACGAGCTGAAGTTCGTTTGAATTTCCCAATCCTTACGCTCCACTGACGATTCTTACGTGAATACTTAGGCGAAGAGGGATACGCATCATCCTGGGAGTTGTTCCCATGTTGTGTGAATGTTATTGCCGATCGAATTGGAATATAAAGTCTTCGACCAGGTCGGAAATCAAGTTCGACTAGAGGGCATACAGATCCTAAGATATTCCGAGGTTATCATGGTAAGATACAAAACATGTCCACACCAGCTTTCATCAGATCAGCATGAAGACTCTTCAAGTTGTTCCTCATACTGGCCTCGACACGCAGCAGTGCTACAAGGGACGTCGCCTAATAATCATTAGTGTTGTTAGAGGAATAGACCAGATACCCATCCTCACCTCCATCACTCTCGACGCTGAACTCATCCCTTTTCCAAACAGAACCTTACTGCCCTCCTTCGACACGTAATCAGGGTACGATGATTCCTATCAAAACTGGGCTATCAAGTTGATAACATCTTGACAGTAGTAGTATCAATGACAACAACGAGTTGATAGCATCTTGATAGTAACAGTATCAATAACAACAACAAGTTGATAGCATCTTGATAGTAGTAGTACCAATAACAACAACAAGTTGATAGCATCTTGATAGTAGTAGTATCAATAACAACAACAAGTTGATAGCATCTTGATAGTAGTAGTATCAATAACAACAACAAGTTGATAGCATCTTGATAGTAGTAG